TTGAGCAGGCAGTCTGTCCGTTCTCAGATCTCAACCTCCATGCTGGGAGATCCACTGCTCTCTTCAAAGCTGTCAGACAGTGTCATTTATCTCTCCCGAGGTTTCTGTTGCTTTTTGTTTAGCTATGCCCTATTCCCAGAGATGGAGTCTACAGAGACAGGCAGGCCCCCTTGAGCTGAGGTGGGCTTCACCCAGTTCGAGCTTCCCAGAGGCTTTGCTTACCTACTTAAGCCTCAGCAATGGCAGGCGCCCCTCCCCCAGCCTCGCTGCCGGCTTTCAGTTAGATCCCAGACTGCTGTGCTAGCAATGAGGGAGGCTCCGTGGGTGTGGGACCCTTTGGGCCAGGTGTGGGATATAATCTCCTGGTGTGCCATTTGCTAAGACCCTTGGTAGAAAGCACAGTATTAGGATGGGAGTTACCCGATTTTCCAGGTGTTGTGTGTCTCAATTTCCTTTCGCTAGGAAAGGGAATTCCCTTCCCCCTTGAGTTTCCCAGGTGAGGCGGTGCCTCGCCCTGCTTCAGCTCTCACTAGTCAGGCTGCACCCGCCCACCAGTGCCAACCATCCAACACAACCCAGTGAGATGAACTCGGCACTTCAGTTGAAAATGCAGAAATCACTCGTCTTCTGTGTCGCTCATGCTGGGAGACGGAGGCTGGAGCTGTTTCTATTTGACCATCTTGGGCGTGCCCCCAAAATCAGTTTTAATATAACTGAAGTTTCTACATTCTGACTCCAAATGTCAGATTGTGACATTTTACCTTTCTCTGACTTTATGCCAAATTACTTCAACTTCTAGCATCTATCATTCTCATTTATGAACAAATATGTATTTAGCAAATGTGGAAATACAAACCATGAGCCAAACAAAACCAAATTCTGGGCTTATGTAGCTGATAGTAAAAAATTCACTAAAATAACCACCCAATTACAGTTTCATGCAACGTGATAGGAGTAAGGGACCACCATAAGGAGGTCAGAAGGTGCTTTTCAGAGGTGGAGAGTACAGCTGTTCTCAGAAGGACAGGGGTTAGAAGAACCTTCCAGGCACAGAGCAGAGCATAAGCAAAAGCTCTGTGGAGGCCAGGAAGCTGGTAAATAGGGAATAAAAGAGGCCAGTTTGGCTGGAACAGAGAGAGCAGGATGGAACTGGTCTGAGTAGTGAGAAGAGATGGAGAAGTGGGCAAGGCTCCTGGCCATTCAGGGCTTGGTTAGTTAAGAGGTTTTGTTTAAGAGAATGGGAAGGTGTTTAAGTGGTTTAGGCTTGGAAGTGACAGGGTCATATTACATTTTGAAAAAGCCACTCTGCCTGTTGTGTTGAGATTAGAGAGGCAATAAAGGGGATATGGATAAACCACAAGAAGACCAGGTCAGTAGTCTCTCCACCCCCACTCCCCAGGTGAAGGTATCCTAGACTAGGGTGGTGATGGAGGAGATAGGACAGATTCAAGAAAATTTGAAAGGTAAAAACCAGTAGGATTTGCTCATGGATGGAATACAGGAGGGGAGAGGTAGATTATCAGGGATGTATCTTAGTTTTCTTATACAAGATGGATTCAGTTGCAATGAAATTGTTAAATGGAATTGACTTTAAATAATGGCATGACCTAAAGTTATGCAAACATTTGGCTTAGATAAAATTTCAAGTTTTCAAAGTTTTTAGCTGGGTGGACGGCATGGCTTTACTTCCTATTTCTTGGTATTTCCTAATCTTGTTAAAAAAAAAGTTTTTCTTTTTCTCAAAGGCTTGTTTCAGTGGAAGCCCATATGCAACATCTGTTATAAATTTAAGTTAGAAAACAATTACAAGTGCCATTGACACTTGGGTTATTGTTTTTGCGAGTGACCTAAGGTCACCTCTCGGGGGGAGCTGGGGGCTGCCTTCTGAAACCCGCGCGTCTGCACCGCATGCCCAGGCCTGGAAGTCAGACTCGGGGGCGGTGTGACAGCGTGAGGCCTGCAGTCCTAAGCGCAGGGGTCGCTCTGGCCCCAGAGGCGGTGTGTCTTCTGCCTCTTTAACTTGGCAGGGGCGGTTCAAGTGGCCGGGGAAATCAGCGATTTGCAGGGTGGACGGCTGGTGCTTTGAACAAGAGGCGGAGGGGAGAGAGGGATTTCCCTGTCTCCGCTGCTCTCGGTCCATCCCTCAGTTACTCCTTTTCTTGGCCCCGGCGGCCCCTAACCTGCTCTAACCCGTTGGGCGGTAGAGGCGGCCGGGTCACTTTAAGGCCCCGCCGTGCCTGCGCCTTGGGCTCTCCTGACGGGGCCGAACTGGACCCTGAGGAGTCAGCGGGCTGCAGGGTAGGGGCTGGGTGGCGGTTGAGACAGCGGCTGTACTGGGAGGGGAAGGTGAGGGTGGTGAGGCTGTCTGAGCTTCTGAGTGAGCGCGGTGCTTTTGGGAACGCGGGACGGCGACTTGCGGCGCCCGCCGCCGCCGCTGCAGTCTGCGTAGGAAATTAAGGTTTAGGGCGAAGTCCACCCGGCGTTTCGGAGGTGAGGGCCCCGCGCCAGGCCCTGCGGGCGGTGAATCCGGGACCTGCGGGCGCACCGCTGGGGAGGCGCGGCGGGAGGGGCGCACCGCCGGGGCCTAAGTTCCCTGTGCTGGATTCTTCGCCGGTCGGGCCGCCGGCAGCCCACCTTTTGTGGGCGCTGGGGAAGAAAGTCGCTGGTGGGTGTTCTGTGGCATCCCAGGGGATGGAGGGAACTGAGCAGCTTCGGGGCACGCCCTGGTATATCCTGTGCAGGACACTGACTTCGCACCCCGACCCTCACGGCCGGAAATCGGTTCCCTCTGAGGACCTGAGAGGCCCAGAGTGCTCGCGCCTCTGACTTGCAAAGTTGGCGTCTTTATTTGGCCTTCGGGATTCTGCGCCTGGCGGTGTGTCCAGGCTGGTGATGGGCAAGCCAGGTGTGCCAGGTCCAGGATGTACATGAGGAGCGTTTGTAGCTATCACTGAATCACCTCATGACTAGCGGGACAAGCCTCAAATTAACCGCAGGATTTCCAGTAGGTTGGATTGTGGTGTTGGTGTTTGCACTCCAAAGAGTTGCTGTGATTTCCCTGTGTCTGCCTATCTTTGGGGCTTCTTAGATCATCTCATTTGGCGTCCTTTTCACCGAAGAGTTAACCGAGACATTTGGCATGGTTTCCTTGCTTTCCTCCTATCTTTTGCTGCTAGAGCTGCTTTCGAAAGGAAGTCTTTTCTTGCAGTGGTATCTTTTCTTTGGGTTACAGTGTTGTTCATCCTTTCTTTGCCGAAATAATGAATCCCAGTGCTTCACGAAGTTGAAGGGAAGTGATCTAGTAGTGTTTAGTCTGTTCTGAGCCGATGTACGTTAGTAGCTTTCTTTTTGTTTTTAAATTTTATTAGTAAAATTTTCACCGGTGAACCAGAATCTCTTTTTTTCTATTCTGAAATGCTAGCTTTAAGATTTCTGAGAACTTTGTGTCAAAGAAATATTCGAAAATTGCTGAAGTATACAGAGGTTCACAATTTTAAATGTGCAGGTGATCCGGGCACAGTAGATCACACCTGTAAGCCCAGCACTTTGGGACGCCAAGGTGAGTAGATCACTTGAGCCCAGGATTTCCAGACCAGCGTGGGCAACGTGGCAAAACCCTATCTCCACTAAAAATGCGAAAGGTAGCTGCATGTGGTGGTGTGTGCCTGTAGTCCCAGCTACCTGGTAGGCTGAGGTGGGAGGATCACCAGAGCCGGGGAGGTTGAGATTGCAGTGAGCCGTGATCATGGCAGTGCACTCGGCCTGGATGGCAGAGTGAGACCCTGTCTCGAAAAAAAAAAAAAAATACAGTTAATTAATTTTTACCAAGTGAACCACCACAGATCAAGAAATAGAACATTACTAGACTGGGGTATATTTTTAGGAGTGGCATTGTTGGTTTTAGAGGTATATGAATAAAACTTTAGTATTGCATATTGTTGAACATTTCCCCAAAGCGGTTGTACCATTTAACAGGGATATTCTGGTTACCCCACATCCTTGCTGATGTCTGTCAGTTAAAAATTATTTTGCCATTCTAGTAGGGGTGCAGTAATGTATCAGCATGGTTTCATTTTGCATTTTCCTGGTATTGAGATTGAGTATCTGTTATTGCCATTTACATGTCTTCTTTTGTAAAGTGCCTGTTAAATCTTTTTATCCAGTTTTCATTGATATGCTTGTTTTTCCGTTGATTTGTAATACTTTATTCTGGATATGTGTCCTTTCTAGGATATATATGTATTGCATTTCCCTTTTTTCAATCTGTAGCTTGCCTTTTTACTCTTTTAATGGTATTTTTTCATGAATGGAGATTCTCTAACTCTTTTTTTTCTTTTTGAGACAGGATCTCACTTTGTTGCCCAGGCTGGAGTGCAGTGGCACAATCACAGCTCACCGCAACCTTGACCTCCCAAGGCTCAGGTGATCCTCCTGCCTCAGCCCTCAAGTAGCTGGGACCTACAGGGGAGCACCACCACACTCAGCTCTTCTCTGTATTTTTAGTAGAGATGGGGTTTTGCCACATTGTATAGATTGGTCTGGAATTCCTGGGCTCAGTGTTGGGATTACAGGCATGAGCCACTGTACCTGGCCTGAGATTCTTAATTTTAATGAAATTATACTTTATCAATCTTTTCCTTTATGGTTACTGATTTTGTGTCCTGTTTAAGAAATCAATGCTAAGAATATGGACACATTTTTCTGTGTTAATCTTATAGCAATTTTACTTTAGTTTTTGCATTTTTTTTTTCCCTTCAGACAGGGCCTCACTCTATTGCCCAGGCTAGAGTGCAGTGGCAGGATCTCAGCTCACTGCAACCTCCACCTCCTGGCTCAAGCGATCCTCCCACCTCAGCCTCCTGAGTAGCTGCGACTATAGGTGTGTGCCACCACGCCTGGCTAATTTTCATATTTTTTGTAGAGATGGGGATTCAACATGTTTCCTAGATTGGTCTCGAACTCTTTGGCTCAAGTAATCTGCCCACTTCAGCCTCCCAGAGTGCTGGGATTACAGGCGTGAGCCACACCACCCGGCTGTAGTTCACTTTTTACTACATGGATTTGTCTGCTTGATACAGCACCATTTGTTGAAAAGACCATCCTTTTCCTTCTGCACCGTGTGGCACGTTTTTTCATAAATTAAATGGCTGTGTGGTCATCTGATTTATGAAATTAGTGTGGGTCTGTTTCTGGACCAACCTGGGCAACATAGTGAGATCCCATCTCTACAAAAAATAAAAATAATAAACAAATGAATAAAATTTTAAAAATAAGTGCGTAGAGCAGATGGAGTCATAGGTGAAAATTTATAAATGATCGTCAGTTTCTTGGCTACATACAGGTGTTGGTAATTCAGATGTGTTGGGAATTCAGGCAAAATGTGTTAAGTGAATTATATGGTGTTCAGAATGATTGCTAGATGTTCATTGTGACTTGAATTAGATGTTATTTGAGCCTCACAGAGCTACAGTTTGACTCTTTTATTTATTTATTTGTCTTTTTACAATTTTTACAATCTTCCTGTCAAGGCAGTAACTCTTTTATGCTTAACTGTTCTCAGGTGGCCTCCCAAAGTGTTGGGATTACAGGTGGGAGCCATCACCCCTGGCCATTTTAGTTTTAATAATTTTTATATTTTTCTAATTTAAAAGATTTACTAAAATGTCTTACAGCTGTTATTTATGAATATTCATTGTTGTTATGATGATTGTGTTTAATCTTATTTTCAATATTAGCTCCTGGAAATTAGAGATTTTGTCTCTTTTATTCACCACTGTATTCTCAGTACTTGACCTTGCCTGGCATGAAACAGATACTGAATAAATATTTGTTAAATGAATGAATGAACATACTAATACCATATTCAACAATCTCCAAGTATCACAGTTTTCACCATCTAACAAATAAAATAGCTTGTATAGAGCAGAGTCACAGTCAACCTGCCATAAAAGGAAATGTCAATAAAAAATAAACCTTTGTGTAGCTGCTAAGATTTTGGAGCTTTTGTTACTGTGGCGTAACCTAGCACAAGCTTAGTGAGACCACATATAGAATATACATGTACAGATAGACCAGACAGACCAGTATATGAGATTACAAAGATAGTTCAATAAGCATTAACTATACCCACACACTCTTAATTCCTTAACAGAAAGAATCAAATTCTTATTCACTAAGATCTGCCTCAAATATTACTTACTTTGTGAAAACTTCCCTGGCTACTCAAGTATTTAGTCAGGACTCTTTGTTCCCACCCCCCCATCCCCCAGGCTGGAGTGCAGTGGTGCCATCATAGCTCACTAACCTCTAATTCAAGGCTCAAGGAATCTTCCTGCCTCAGCCTCCCGAGTAGCTGAGACTACAAGTGTGTGCCACCATGCTCAGCTAATTTTTCATTTTTTATTTTCAGAGACGGGGTCTTACTGTGTTGCCCAGGCTGGTCAGGACTGTTGATTACATATGACAGAAACCCAACCAACCCTAGTTCCCCACCACCTTTCAACCTGCTCCTCCCTGGGTCTTCCCAGTCTTGGTAAATGGCAGCTCTATCCTTCAAGTTGCCCAAGCCCCAAATCTCAATGTTAACCTTGATTTCTCTCTTTTATCTCTCACAGGTAATCTGAAGGCAAATCCTGTTTAGACCCAGGCGAAGGTTCCTGGTGACCCAGGCTCTCACCAGCAGATTGTCCCTTACTGTCCTCCTGAGGGTGTCTGGAGCTTCAGTGCTCTGTGCTCTTGGCCTCCACACTGGGGGTGCCACCAACTCCCACTGTCCAGGGCTTCCAGTGGACTCTCCGAGGACTGATGTAGAAACGTCCCCATTCGGTGCACCAAGAGCAGCCTCACACGGTGTGGGCCAACAGGAAGAGCTGCCAGATCCAACAGGTAAAAGTCCCGAGGCATCGCCAGCTCGATGGGGTCAGAGAGTCCTCTTTCTATTGTGACTCAGATGTGAAGGGAAGACACCAAGGGCCCTAAACATCACAGGGCCTTGCCTGGAATGAAAAAGATATTAAAAAATATTTGTTAAATGAATGAACAAATCTTCACAGCGTGTGCCGCCCACAACCTGCAATGCCGTGGTCAGGTGGAAGTGATTTTACTTCAGGAGAGGACAGTGTTCTCTTCAGGACTTTTCCTTAGTAGGTAGATCTGCATCCCTCTCCTCACTCTTCCCCTTTCACCCCCCATTCTCTGCCCCCATTTCTCTCTCTGTTTCCACCCTGCTGTCCCCTTTCACCTGCTTTCTCCTCTTCAGCTTTCGTGGCTCACCCCCTCCCTGTCCACCCGCATCCCCCAGGCTAAGGCCCCTGCACTGTCCTGAGTGGGGAGTTGTGTCTGGTTCTAGGCAGTGCCCTCTAGATGTGTCCAGGATGGGGAAACATGGCTCAGTTGCTAGTATAATGGGTTAAAAGAGTGGCCACTTTTGAAGGCCTTTGCCATTTCCCATTCCGGAATCCTGTAGGACGTAGAATTTATGGGCCACAGTGGAATTCTTGGTTCCCCAGGACCTTGTGTTGGACGCCTGCTTTCCCTGAGCATTCATGGGGTGACTGTTAGGTACCAGGCCCTGCTCTGGGCTAGAGGCCCCATAATGAGTAAATCTCAGGTAACTACCCCACAGAACCCACCACTGCAGGCATTGAGAGGGGGAGAAAGAAAGGGGCATGGCCTGTTTGTGTCCTTCTCATGTGGTCGCCCACCAGGTCCTGGGGGAGTGGGAGCAAGTGCAAGGAGAGAAGTCCAGTGAGAAAGGCAAATGGGCGATGTCAGGCCCAGGGGCTGAGGCCCTCACCTGCAGCTTCTAGAGTGGAAAAGGAGCAGCAGGGAAGGTCGTGGCCTGGTGTTCTGGGGTCTACTGTCTCATCTCATTTTTGTGGGCACCAGAACTTATCCAAAGACAAGACTTAGTGTCTCTGGCAACAGTGGACCAGAGACAGAATGTGTTTCAGAGGAGGAGGAAGGGGTTGTAACCCATGGAAACAGTATATGGTTTTATAGCAGTGCATCCTTCTCTAATTAGTTAGTGTGTTCCTGTTAATGGAAAATATTGGTGGTGTAAGTTCCCCCTGGATGTTGTCATCTTCACGTAAATTTTTTCGCTCCTTCCCTCCCTCCCTCCCTCCCTCCCTTCCCTACTTCCCTCCCACTGTCTCTCTATTCTTTCCCTTGCTCCCTCCCTTCCCTTCCTTCCTTCCTCCTTTCCTCCCTCCATCCCTCCCTTCCTTCATCCTTCCCTCCCTCCCTCCTTTCTGTCCTTTTTTCTTCTTTTCTTTTTCTTTCTCTCTCTCTCATACTCTCTCTTTTTCTTTCCTTTTCGTTCTCTCTACTTTTTTGAATAGACCACACTGTACTGAAACCTACATTATTTACCAAAATCTCTGGAGCTGCTTCTGTCTCGCAGGCAGGGAGTTCCTCCTGTAGCCCTTAGCTCCTCCCAGCCTCCTCCTCCTTTGATTCGTGGGTGCCACTAGGGCAGCTTCTGAGTCTCAGTGGTTCCTAGTCACCAAGTTCTGCACACCCAGATGGTTTGTACCTGTCCTTACCAGAAGCCTGCACTGTCCAGATGGCTGAGGCTGCTTTTACCTAACTGATCTGCTATCTGTGTTCCGGGGGCGCCCCAGGGTTAGAGGTAAATGGCACAGGCATTGAAATCTCCCACTACTCTGACTCCAGGTTATACACCTCAATGCCAAGTACTAACCACATAATAACAGGATGCCACCAAAACCTTGATAAGGGGCTGCTGCATCCTAATTAAGAAACATTAATAGACATTATTTTTAAGAATAGTTCTAGGTTTATAGAAAAACTGAGTGGATAGTACAGAGAGTTCTCCTAGGCTCCCGTGTCCTCCAGCACACAATTTCCCCTGTTGTATTAATGTGGTCCATTTGTTACAATTAATGAACCACTATTGATACATCATTATCAACTAAAGTCCATAGTTTACATTAGAGTTCATTCTTTGAGTTTCACAGATTATGGGTTTTGGCAATTACATAGTGTCCTAAATCCCCAATACAGCATCATGCAAAATAGTTTCACTGCTGAAAATTCCCTGTGCTTCACCATTTCATGCCTCCTCCTCTCCTCCACCCCTGACAACCACTCATTGTTTTACTACTTCTATCTTTTTGACTTTCCAAGACTGTCATAGAGTTGGAATCGTACAGTATGTAGATTTGTAGACTGGCTTCTTTCTAGCATTATGTACTTTAAGTTCCTCCATATCTTTTCATGGCTTGATAGCTTGTTTTTTAAAATCACTGAATCAGATTTCATTGTATGGCTACAACACTGTTTATTCATTCACTTGATGAAAGGCATCTTGGGTACTTCCAAGTTTTGACAATGATGATAAAATTGCTGTAAGTACTTATGTGCAGGATTTTGAGTGAACTTAAGTTTTCCGAAGTGACTGCACCCTTTTGATTTCCACTAGCTATGGAGAGTTCTGGTTGCTCCTCATCTTTGACAGCATGACAGCATTTGGTGTGTTCACCTTTTTGCATTTTAGACATTCTAATAGGTTTTCAGTGATATCTCATTGTTGTTTTAATGTGCAGTTCCCTGACGACAAATGATTTTAAGCATCTTTTTCATATGCTTATTTGCCATCTATATATCTTATTAATGAGGTGTTCAGATCTTTCACCTTTTTTTTCTTTGTGTTTAGTTCTCAGAATTCTTCATATATTTCGAACAGCAGTTTTTCCATCAGATTATTTTGTAAATATTTCCTGCCAGTCTGTGACTTGCTTTTTCCGTTCTCTTCACAGTGTCTTTCACAGAGCAGAAGTTTTAAATTTTAATGAAGCTCAACTTAATTTTTTTCATTAGTAGATTGTGCTTTTGGTTTTGTATCTAAGCCATCGTTGAACCCAAAATCCCCGAGATTTTCTCCTCTGTTATCTCCTAGGATTCTTATGGTTTTGCACCTTACATTTATGTGTAAGATTTATTTTATAAAGGGTATAACATGCATACTTGGATTTATTTATTTATTTATTTATTTTTTGCATGTGATTGTCCAGTTGTTCTAGCACCACTAGTTGGAAAGGCTATCTTTGCTGTTTTAAATTGTCTCTAAACCTTCATGGAAGATCAGTGGACTGTATGTAGGCCTGTTTCTGGGCTCTGTATTCTTTTCCATGGATCTGTTTGTGTGTGTTTTCTCTTTTCACCAGCTCCACCAGCTTTCTCTTTTCACACTATTTGGGTTACTGTAGCTTAATGTAACTCCTGAAGTTGGTAGTGCCAAACCTCAGGGGTTTTTTCTGAACTTCATCATGAGAACCTGGTTGAGATCATTGTAGTAAAACTTGGAAATGTGTGAGATTCCCCCTTAGTCTGGTTCTCAAGGAGTTTTTAATGCGCTAACCAGGCCACCCTCAGCTTCTAGTAATCCATCAATACCATTTAAGTGCTCCTCACACTTGCTGTCCCCAGTAGCTTCTCTTCCTGTGAGCTGTGACTCCTTGTGTGTTAGCCTGTCTTTCTCATTTTTAGGGAGGCCATTTTCCCTGTGACCTCAATTCTCTGGTCCACCCTAGAAGGGTTGACTTTCAGTTCATTCAGCTTTTTTTCTAGCTGTGAGGACAAGTGATGACTGCCTAGCTCTTTCCGTGTTGGAATAGAAACCCAAAAGTTCGTTTAAAGAATGACTTGTTATAAAAGTCACCTATTGTCAGTGTACAACTCAATGATTTATAGAATTGATTTATAGAATTGTGCAGCCATCAGCAGAGTTCTACGTTAGCACATTTTGTCTCTTCCCCAAATTCCCTTGAACCTCATTGTAGTCATTTCCTAATCCCTGGTCCCCATGACTGGGTCTAAGTAGAATAAATATTTGGAAAGCAGACTTCATTATATCTACATTTTCATGTGTTTGGGACTTTATATAGTGGACTATTGTGTTCGTTTTGTGACAAGTAGAGAAGAGATTGCATTCTAGGGATGGTTTTTGGGGGAACATAATAGTGATCCTGTTTATGACTCTCCTTGAAATGGTTCATCTGTGCTTGTGACTGGTATTTGCTACCAAACCTTGTCTGGTAAGCACAAGAAAAGGAATTTTTTAAAATCTGCTATTAAAATCAAGATGATATATTTTCACATCATAATATGTGGAGTTAAGTAATGAACCATCTTTATTTATTTATTTATTTATTTTTGAGATGAAGTTTTTGCTCTGTTCCTCAGGCTGGAATGCAATGGCGTGATTTCAGCTCACTACAACCTCCATCTCCGGGGTTCAAGTGATTCTCCTGCCTCAGCCTCCTGAATAGCTGGGATTACAGGTACCCACCACCACGCCTGGCTAATTTTTGTACTTTAAGTAGAGACAAGGTTTCTCCATGTTGGCCAGGTTGGTCTCTAACTCTTGACCTCAAGTGATCCACCTGCCTTGGCCTCCCAAAGTGCTAGAATTACAGACATGAGCCATGGTCTGACCTGAACCATTTTAATTGCACTTCATTTTTAAAAACCTTCTCCTTATTATGTTGTTGTTTAATAACTTAAAAGCTATCTGTAGACCAGGAATAATTATTTGCTATATAATATAGCAAAAAATATGTATATATAAATGGACTCATTCAAAATATATAAAGAACTCCTATAGATTACAAAGAAAATGACAGACACCCCAGTATATCAATGAACATAAAAATTTGAGAAGATATTTTCCATAAGAAGGTATCTAAATGAACATTAGGCATGAGAAAACCAAAATAGATTGTCACTAGACACCTGGTAGAATGGCTATAATTTAAAAGACTGAAAATATTAAGTGTGTGGGAATGTAGAGCAACTGAAAATGGCCTACATCTTTCATAGAAATGTAAAATAATACAGTTACTTTGCAAAACTCTGTGTCC